TATTCCAACACCGCCACTTCCTCTCGTTATACGTTTCACGGTCTTTTTTTTTCATTTTATTTTGTTTTATTCCCTCCCTTTTTTTCTTTTTTTTTTATCAATTTTCCAGCAATTGTGACGATAGCGGCCTGGAATCGTTTCACAGAGAGATAATGCCGTTTTCGTTGATATTTATACGCGGGTATGGAGTTCTGTTTAACGGAGGGAGGGGAATGCAAAGACTATTGTTCTGCTTTTCCGTGTTTAACTTGTGTTTGGACTTAGCCTGGATTTAAATTCTGGTTTAATTAAATTGGGGAGAGAAAGAGAGAATTTCGAGGATACTTTTTTTTTTTTTTAGAAAGGTAGGAAGTCGCGATTTATTCTTTTCAGAAACTTTGTGACTTTGATAAAATGAGCTTCGAAGCTTTACCCCGGAGACAAATACTTTTATTGTCTAGTTAATTAAGTAAATTAATATTTTACTGTTCTTGAGTTTCTTTATTTATAATGTCTTCTAAGTATATATATTGTAATATTCGATCTCAAAATTGAAATTACGTTTATTCTTCACGATCCATTCGAACGTATGAATCTCAACAATCGAACACAATCATTTATCCAATCCCACGATTTCTCTCTATCTTTGGACGAAAACGGAATTTTATTTCTAAAAATATATCAGTTTTTTTTTATCATAATCACGCGAATCAAGTTGGATTCATCGGAGACCGTGTTTATTTTCACAAATATAAACGGATAACTTCCGTTTTCGTCATCTGGCGATCAGGAATCGCAATAAAGCGAACAAAATTATCCGATTCAACGTCAATATTTGAGTTTGAAGGGAATTTGTTCAATCCGTTAATCTTAGGCTATTTTATCATAGTTATATATATATATATATAATCATAAAATATATCATAATCACGATAACATGCAATCTTCGTGTTATTTGCAATTAGTCGGTAGAAATTTATTCATATCTGTCGCGGATCTCATTTGAAGTACGGATAATTTATTACACGAGCTATATATATTTTTATTTAAAAATAAAATATGATGTCTCTCTTATAATCAGATGTTCTACTTTGATAATATGTATCCAAGATAAATTTATGTTGAAACAGTGGCAGTGCAATATTATTATCTTCATCCTCTTCATCCCGATTTAATTATTTGATTATAATTCTAATCGTGCGTTTCATTTATTAGATAATTAAATAAGAAAGATTTCTATTTTATTTTATACAAAAATATAATCCAATTTTTGGCTCCTTTTTGTAATACGTTACAATTTAAAATGCAAACTTGCAAAACAAATTAATTACTCAATTATATATTCCTCTTATGTTTTCTGACAATGTCCTCGTTTCTTTGAGCAAGATTTTATTAATTGTTATCAACTATGTTAATAGCTACGACTTTTCCACTTTATGGCATACGCGACGTGCAATTAAAAGATCAAACGCTGTAAAACAATCCTCGAAAGAAAGATATATCTTGTTTTCAAACTGCGTTCTCTACATTTTTCCTTCTCCCCACTGAAATTCTCAATTGCCAAGTTTTTGAAAAACGTAGGACCGACGAAACGCGTCTTAACCCGATTTCACGTATGAATGAAATGTCTTTAATTAATCAGAAAGCTTGCGGTGAACTTTGCTTCTTTCATTTGGAGGAAAGGCATCACATTCGTCGAGCTTGTTAACATTTGCAAATTTACATTTTCAGTCGGTAAACGAAAATTTAAAGAAGATATTCAAATTTGTTCTCTCCTTATAGTTCTCTTTTTTTTTTTTTTCTAAAGTTTCATTCTTTCCAAATGAAGAAATTTCTTCATTTTGCGAGTGAAAATGGAGAGGAAAGCTCCAGCTTTTTGTTTATTTTCTGTTTTCTCCTTTTTTCTTTCCTTTTTTCCCATTATTTATTCCATTATTAAGAACGCTTCGATATTTCAGAATTAAAAATATCGAGATACGTTTAATCATTTTTATAGAGAATGTTATGTAAATGTTATATAACATCTTTACATCACGTTTAAAAACAAAAATAAAATGCGTAATCGTTTCTTCCATACACGTGTCATAAATTTTTATAAATTCAAAATATTTTCTATGCAATAAGAATAACTTGAAACGTGGAATTCTACTTAAATAATTCTTGCGCATTTTTGTTAAAATTCCATTGTACAATACATCTCCATAAATATCCAGTGAATCTTTCTTCATGCAATCAATTACATGAGATCGCTTGTCTCGAATCATCTCTCATCAATATCTCATTCTCAACGATAAATTATAGTTATACAAACACAATTACAGTTATACAATTACAATTAACAATCAAATATCTCCTCTCTAATATCCACTCCATTTTTATTCCATTTCATTTTTATTTCAAACGATATGTAAATGTAAAATTCTATA